GTCCCCTTAAACCGTTTAACTAATCCAATTTGTGGTTTGCTTTGGATTTGTTAGTCTTGGCTCTTGGCTTACTAAGGTCCCCATTAAGCCCAAAATATTTCGATAATATGACTATATATACTTGTCGTTCACGAAATCCAAATTTATCAATCGAATCTTCCAAATCGCTGATTTTTAGGTTTACGATGTCACCTAGCACGAAGACTGAGGTAGCCACAAATGGAGGAGATCTTACTTCATCGAAGATAGTATGTGCTCGAATCTGATTGTGTTTCAGATATCTAATTGGAGATTGATTTCTTGGTTTAATATGCTTGATTTGTACTAGTTTGGAAGGGTTTTTCTTTTGGTAATTTTTACGTGTTCTTTGGGAATTACTGAATGTTTCTTGGTACTTAGATTGCTATATGTAATCTGGTTTTTAGTTGTATTGAATTTGACATGTTAAGAGAACTAGGGTTCGAAATCTCAACTGATATTATCACAGATATGTTAGATAGAGCGGATTTTTTGAATTGTTTATTTTTGTAGTTATAAGTTCTCTTTGTATTGATTTTATTGGAAAATCTACCACTTCTGGTTGCTGGGATTTGGACAGGGGATAGGGATTCACAGCTCAAAGCAACAAACATCGTGCGGAGACTAGTTTCCACTGGTTTGTGATTTATGTTACTCCCTACGATTCTATTGACTTGATGTTTACAGCAATTTGTTATTCTATAAAACATGTTTTATGTTGAAAAAAAAAATGAGAAAATTAATTGATTTTTATTGAAATCTATGTAAAAAACATCAAATAAAATAAAACATAGTGAGTATAAAACAATTACCGTTTTGGTTATATATTGTTTGCTTTTTTCGTAGATTAGGATGGTGTTAGACAACTTGATGTTGTTCCTCGTGTGGTAACGTTTCTTTCCAGGGAATTCTTCCCCGAACTTCAGGTGAGAGGCATCTCGTTTCCATCAATAATTGATCTCTATTTTCGAGTTTGATTCATGTGTTAACATATTCTTGCTGTTCATTTTCTATACTTGTGTTTTAGTATGAGGCAGCTCAACAATATTGCTGCAGGAACATCAGAGGACACAAAAGCCGTTGTTGAAAGTGGTGCTGTTCCGATATTCATCAAAAACTTCTCGGCTATGCTAATGAGGATGTCCGCGAACTAGTATATTTCTAAACCGCCACTCTCTTCTGTTTGTTTATCTTTGTTAGTGTAAATTTAATAAGTCTAACACAATTCTGAGGTGTGTGCTTTTTCCTGAATATAGGCGGTTTGGGCATTGGGAAATGTTGCTGGAGACTCACTAATATACCGTAATCTTGTCCAAAATTACAATGCCATGACTCCTCTCCTCTCTCAGTTCAATGAGCATACAAAGCTCTCAATGTTGAGGACTGCTACATGGACCTTATCAAACTTATGCAGTAGGAAGCCACGGCCTTTCTTTATACAGGTTTCCTTATTATACACACTACTACATAAACCCAAATTTCGGAGTCTCCATTATTATATTATAACATGTTTCTAATTTGTTGAAATCTAATTATCGGTTCAACATATATATATATTGAACTTTTAACAATATGTTTCCCATCTTTGCGATGGAGAAGAGCCGTGCTCATAGTGTATTGGAAGAGGCAATTGCCTTTACGACTCCAAATTTAAAACCTAACTTAATTGGTCAAACTTTTGTATTTAAATCTCTTCTTCGATTCAAATGCAAACAATATTTTTTATAAATGTATTTGTGTTAGCTATTCTATTTAACGTCATACTATTTTGGACTTTGAGATTTGATTCTCCATAATAGTCCTACCATTGTTTTCTTTTGAAATTGTTTTTTTTTTAACTCATTCTTTTCAGATTTTTTTTAATAACCTCGAAATTCGGATTTAAACCCTAATCTCCCGGGTCTAGAGTCAGCTTTGAAAAGCTAAACCACTAGCCCACCACACCCTTGGTTTCTTTTCAGATTTTTTTATAATTCCTATGGTTTTATTTACCATATCATTTTAATAAATTTCTAACTTCAAATTTTAATTATTATTTTTTTGACAACCAAATTATATATTAATCAAAAGACACTATTAGAATTGGTAAATTTTTATGATGCATAACTTTAATAATTA